CGATTAAGATGCTTAGAGCACTGCCAGGCTTTCATCAGCTGAAGTTTCTTTTTCTGAGCCAAACGCCTGTCTCAGAAATCAGAAAAGCAAAAGAATGGTTCAACCCTCTCACATTTATAGAAATGGTTTATCCAAGCTAAAAAATCCCAGTGACAGGTCCCAGCCTTCACAGGAGGGCCCTGAAAGGATGTCATTCCATTTTCTATCTGGGGATGAAAATAAAAGAAAACAAAACAGTGGGAGCAAGACAGTCTCTATATCTAATGAGGCAAGCTATCTGGGAAAAGGTAGCGTGAATTCAGCTTTGAGGAGTATGTTAAGATGCACACACACACAAAGGGGCTGAGTTAAGACTGCACAGATACTTCTGGCACTTCCAGACTTGCAGTGCTCGGTCTTTTTAATTAATATTGAGCACTGGTGTTTCATATTTTACATTTAGTACAGCGTGCATGTAGACAGAAGAGAGAAATAATCACTTCCAACATTCATTCTGGGTTTATTAACGCCTTTAAGTAAAAAACAAATATTCCCAAGTCGCCGGTAATGCCTTAATTCCGTAATTATTTCTAAATCTGAATTAGCATTTCTGATTAGTTCCTGAAGTATGTTTTTCTCCTTCTCACCACTTTTGCTTCTGCTGAATTTTCATCCTAAAGAGATGCTTCGGTTAATCATTTATTTCTCTCGCCAGCAATAACCCTGCCCTGCATCCCCCCCCCAGAACAGCTTGCTCAGGGCAGCAGGAGCCATGCAGAGCCCCCTTCTCTCACTGCACTCCCCACAGTCTACGCTCTCATTTTTCTATGCATTTCCAGATCTAAAACCTTCTGTTTTCTTTCCCTTGTTTGCTCTCGGCAGCTATTGGCAGGAGACATCCTCTTAATGATCTTTTTCTGGCCTTCTAGACGACTGCTCAGACTTCTACGGATCTTTCATTATTAACGCGGAAGCCTTGTAAGTCAGTTTTAATGGCCTGTGCAATTTTTATCCCTTCGCAGGAGACATAACCTCCTCCATATGGATATATGTTTATTAATATAAATCCTTAATATCATATTTCCTAGGGAGAATAATCAGTAAAAGCCAACTGGCGTGTATTACACCTTGTACCGGTTCACCCAAAAATCAAAAAGTCATCTTAGCCCTGCACGATGTGGAGCACAGCAGAGAGGATAATCCTTCTCCCTCGGGTTGCCAAGGCACCGACGACAGCCAGCTCTCTCTGCAGCCCCGATCCCCTCCAGACGGAGGGCCACAGCCGCTTTCATTTCTCTGCCGTGGGATTCATTACCTGGTTTCAGTCCCTTCCTATTATTCCTGGAATATCTCCGGTCTCCGTGTCTATTCTGACCAGGGATGAAAGAAGGATGGGCCGTTGGCGTTGGGGACGTGTAACGCATGCCAACAAACCCACTTTTTTGTCTGCAACCCGACAAATTGCTGCGAGTGCTCAGCCCTCATTACCGAACATCCTTGCGGATGGTTTAAGAAGGGAGACTTGGGAAACAGGACAAAACTCCACCATTCATTTACAAAGAGTGTCCTGGTTTCTTTCCTACAGCTGCACTGCAATTGTCCATTTTTTCCTTTAGATGCTGTATAAAATGACTCTCATTTTTTCCTCTAAATATATCTTTTGAGTCTCAAGTTGGAGTTAAATAATACCACATCTCTCCTTTTTTCTGTTCTCCCGTGTGTTTCATGGGACTTCTTTTGTTTAGCTATTAGCTGGTGTTGACCCTTCTTTCATCACCATTTCGAGCTTTCCCTGTTTGCTATGTTATAGCCACATTCATCAGTAAAGGAGGTAAATGAGATATTCCTGTGCATGGAAAGACAAAAAGTGCCCACAAATTGGTGATGAATGTGTGTCCAGTCCTGCATAGTCTCAAAGCTATGCTTCATCTTTGCTTTTTTCAAACAAGGCATCTCATTAAAAAGTTTACTTGCAGTAACTTAGTGCATTTTGCCTATCTTTATGGTTTTCCTATGCTCAGTAGCAGCCCGCCTCACATAATGGCCACAATTTATGCTCACAGATGGCAAATTTTACAGTAGGGACCAGAGCAAGGCCACAAATTAATCTCCAGTGTCACAAGAATTTCAGTGTACACACATATAGATCATCTGTCAACAAAGGGTGCAATATGACTGTCAGACACAGCAAAAGCATGACATCCACACTCCAAATTCTGCCCCTTGACATATCTCAGCCCTTCAATTATACCCAGCAACACTGCCTAGATTGCAGAATGAAAAGAAATTCCCTGGGCCACAGCCCACAGCTCTAACTCCACCTTAAATTCCAGTTATTGAATGAAAACAAATGAAAAAACTTAGCTTAAGCTGAGCAAAACCAGGGAGGGGTGAGGAAGGGAGCTTCATGCACACCCTGCAGCATCCATCCCCTGTCCAGCGACACCAATGGAAGGCTGGGGGTTAACAACTGAGCACAGTGCTGGACCAGGAAAGTGCTCCCACTGACTCTCCAGCTTCCCACTTTAATGAAGAGCCTGCAATTTTCCCCCAAAACAGGGAAGAATTGGCTCTTCCAAGAGAGAACATTTTTGCTAGAGCAAAATGCAACTCCAAATACAACAGTGCACAACACAGCATGAAACAGTGAGGAGATGTATAAAATTGAGCAGTTCTGTTCTTTTGCAGAGTGCCAGAGCCGTGCAGAGGATGATGTAATTTTGATCCATCATCCCCTATGAGCCAGGCTGCAATTTCCTCCATTCCACTTATAACAGATACGATTAAAAACAATCAGTTATATTAGGCAAAAAATACTTTTCCCAAGGCAAACATTTACTTCAGTGTATTTTTCCTCTGTAACACACAGAAATTCGATGTATGTAAAAACCTTCTGGGTTTTTTTACGTTAACATTGAGCTCCATCCTGCAGGATGGGTGAGCTACCAGAGCTGTCGTTTGCTGCTTACTTACAGCTTCCAACCCAAGGTTAAATAGAAATAATTGCAGTTTCTGTGATGAAAATCACAATACAGACAAAGCCAAAGGACAGACGGGACAGGCCAGGCTACCAAGAGCTGACTGTGGCTTTTCCAAAGCAGTGTTTCTGGTTGCATATACAACATACCTATTTATTCTAACAGAAGCATCTCCTGGAGACGCACCCATTCTGCACATTTCTCCAAGGAAATCCCCATGGAAACTGACTGCCTTCCCCTTCCCAGCAGCTCAGGAGCTCCAGTGGCTGTGGGAAGCTGAGATCACGGCAGTGCCTGTGCTCCTGGGGCTCATCCTGGGGCTCCTGGCTCAGAGGATCCCTCTACTTCTGCTTCCTCAAAACCCCACACCATAAGCATTCTCAGGAGCTCCAGACGCTATTTTGGTTTTGTGCTTTTGAGGACAGCATTACAAAACTATCCCTGCAGGAGCATTTTGGTGCTTTCCTGGCCACTGGAAGCTTCAAAACGACCATCTTCGCTGCCATTTGTTACAAGGTTCTCTAATACCTCAGGAATTTCATCCATGGTGTGGCAAAGAACAAAAACCTGACAAGAGCTGATGCAAAACCTCGAGCAAATCTCATCACCTCTCTGTTTTAGAGCAGAGGATCAACAGGCAACTGTTCAAGTCCAACCAGTCAGTGATGTCCATCTACTGCCCTGCTCAACAGCAGCTGCTGACCAAAACCACATTTAGCAAAGAAAACACAGACAGAAGCAATAACAGAGTAACTTGGTTTAACAGGAAGAGTCTTCCTCACCCAAACCATTTCAAGTCTGCTTAAACCCTATGATGTGATATCCCTTCTCATGTATTTCACCCTACTGCAATGAAACCTAAGAGTTTCACTCAACGATGCTCACGGGCCCCTTCCAACAGAGGATATTCTATGATAGCATGAAAAATGCTTGGGTGCAGGTGGCCCATGACCTACTCTCTGCCTGTGCACTGTGTCCTGGTTTGTGCTGCAATCCCACTGATATGCATGCACTATTTCACAAAAGTTGAACGATGTGCAAGTACTGCATACAGCTTGCTGTCTGTTTTCTCAACATCTATCCCTGAAGAGCACTTCTGTCATGTTCTGCTCCCATCGTTCTCAGATCAAAAAGTTAGAAGTAAGGCACGAATCTGTCTGAGGTTGCCAGCATGGACTGCAGCTCCTTTCCTCCCGAGTGTCTCACATTCTCACTGCAGATGACACTTTCCAATTACCTTTTGGCCCTTCTATTCCCCAAGTCTGGCTCACTTTTCTCTCTGAATTCAGTCTCTACACAGCTCTGAACCTAGAGTCTGACAGCTAAGGACGTAACAAACATGCAGCACTAGCCCTCAGGGGGGTTAGAAATGCCTGATTTCTCCTATTACAGGCATATTCATGAGTAAAGGTCACCAAAAAATGTCTAAACTTAGAACAAAAATGGCTCATGCAACAAGCAGTCATAAGTTCAAGGAGGTCAGACAGGCTGTCTTGCAGCAAAATCAAAGCAGGACTTGCAAAGCTTGGGTTTGAATGTTGGCTCTGCCAAAGACCTCCTACACAAGTTGAGGCGCATCCGATTTCACTCAGCTCCCCTCTGCAATGCAATGAAGTAGTTCCTCGCTGCATACAACATGTTCAAGATGCAGCCCGTGAGCTCTGGAAAGATTATCTGGGAAATTGAGGATACTTCACCAAAGCAACAAAAAACACTCCTGCAAACCATCTAGCAAAATGAGTTGTGGCAACTATGCTGGCAGACTCAGAGAGAAGGAAAGCAGCATTATGAGAAGCGAAGAGAATTAAAACAAAAGATGATGATGCATATGTTAATAGCGCATACTTTAAAATCAATTGCCATCTTCCAGAAAGAGTCATCTACACAGATAACTCAAGAGTATTTATAGTTTTCCCTACTTGGAGAGCTAATACTTGAGTTCTCCAAGGAAAACACTGAATGTCACCAAAGCAATTACATCTGAGATCAATTTGTCTTTATTTGTAAACTGCTTAGCATACTGCACTTCAGATATTCTCTTACCTTAATACAAACTGGTCTGCCAGAGAGTCATCTGCCAGGGAGACATGGAAGGTCACAACGTCCCCTTCTCTGACCGGGCTGAGCGGCAAGCGGATTACGACATTCTCATCTAGCCTCAGTGCAGACTGTTTTAATGTGTCTTGATCTGGGTAAACAACAATGCTACCAATCCTCTCCATAGCTGGCAAAGCCTTCCGTTCGTTATCTTGATCCGCATGAATATTGTTCTCCCACTTTTCATCCTCTGGAGAACATTCCCCATCTGCTGCATAAATCTTATAGAAGAGCTCCACAGTAATCCCTTCCAGGGGAGCTGTATCCTCTGAAACCAGGGGTGGAGGGGAGCTGAACCAGCTGGGAGATAACTCCAGCTCTGCAACACATAATCCCAGTTGGCCTGTCAACCTGCAGCTGGCCACCACTTCTCTAGATTCCAGGAAAGCAAACATCTTCACGCAAGGCAACCTCTCCTCAGGGTCATAGTCATCCCAGTCTTTCCCCGCAATATAGAACAAGGTTTGTATTTTAGGTTTGTTGGAATAAATCGAGCTGTCTATTATGTGCGATTTTAATTTCCAATTAAAAGTGAATTCATTTGTGAAACCAAAAGATGTAGAAGACAGCATGAGGTCCAAGGGAACAGCCTGCTCCACAGAAAAGGGTCCGTACGTGGCATTTAGGACGGGCGGCAGTTTGGATTTGTATATAAGGAATGAATCCACCCTGGACTGCAAACTGGAGTTCCTCGTGATGTCCTGGTTGGTTTCCTTAAGGAAGAAGAAAACATCAGCATTGCAGATGTGATAGCTGGCAGGGAGGTACGTTGGCAGGTTCGAGAATCTCTGCACGCTGTCCATGATCCCTCCTCGGCTCTCCACCACTGCAGGCCAAAGGAAAAAAGAAACAAAGACAATTCTAATGTTTGCTTAGCACACCCCACAAGAGCAGATCAGTGCTGTTATAGGTACTGTGTGATAAACACAGGATGTCTGAGTTCTGTGATGGGACCCTTATGGCCACCTGGACCCGCTCCCACTGCGGTGCATGGGGACACGTACAGCTCCACTGGGGACACATACAGCTCTATTGGGTGCTCAGAGCCCCCCCCTCTGGAAACACCCAAGGTCACCAACCACCACCTTTCTCTGGGCACCCTGTGCCAGTGCCTCACTACCCTCAGCATAAATGTTTTCTTTATATCCTGCCATTGTTGGCTTGAAGTATGAACTTCCCTCCCACTGGATTGGCTCTAGTAGGCAATGAAACTTGTTTGTTTTTTTTTTCTCCCAACTAAAGACAATGCAGGCTGAGCTGGGGTTTGCAAATCAGCATCACTCCCCCTGCACTTTTGCCAGGTCAGTTGTTTGGAAGTTAGCTGCAACCCGATAAAAGGTTGGTATTCTTGAAAATCAAAGGAAAGGGAAAAAAAAAAAAAGAATAAAGAGAGTTTTCAGACACAAGAAAATATAGGGTTTGGTAGAGTCTCAATGGGACAGATTTAAAGGCTAGGGGGAACTTGAGAGAAGGAGAAATCCTTTACATGCTGAAGGTTCACGGATGCTTGAAAGGATTTTTGTTTGTTTGTTTAATTCCAGAGGAGAATGAAATACATTTGGAAATCACAGAAGTTTCTCTACAACACAATGGTCAATCCTCCAGCCAGCACTGAGCAATTTTTCCTGGGCAAGAAAAGATTCCAGAGGGAGGGAGGGTTCAGACAGCTGCCTTTGGTTGGGGCTGATCTCTAATTAATAGCGAGATATATTCAATCTGGGCTGTGAGACTCTACCAAAAAGAAGTGGTGGGTCTTTCAGACTAATTCATACGCTGGTGAATGCAAGCTTGCTCCTGGGACCGCCAGAGAGGAAATAAACAGAAGGCAAATGAATCAAAATGAAGCGGCTCCATAATGCAGAGATAACAAAAGCAACAATGACAGATCCTAAGGTCAGAGTTCTTGTTGTCTCCCATTGGAGCTCAGCGGCGATTTCAGTGTTTGTCAGGGCTGGGGATGGCAGATACACAACGCGACAAGTGCAGAAACAAGGACACCTGTGAGCGGCTGGGCGATGGCGTACCTACAGCCACAATTTAGCACAGATAAAAGCTGGAATATTTAAGCTGTTTTTTTCAGGTTGTGTATTTTAAAGCCTACACTCCTCAATGACAGCTGCTAGGGCAAACCTCATCCACCTGACTTCGCTCCACTCTTGTTCTCTGCTGAAATTCTGCTCGGTTACTTTCAACGGCTGGGATTCCTCCCAGCTCCACAAGGCTGCATTTGAAAGCAATACTTTTTAAGAGCCTCATTTATCATAAAAACCATGCCGCTGTAGATACAAGCAGAGGACAGACAAAAGCAAGAGTACCTTCTGCTTTTGGGGGAGGACTGCTACGATCTGCCCCCGCCCAGCACACCCCACATTGCAAGGAGGCTGACACAGCTCCTGAGCACACAGCGAAAGCAAAGACGAGCCAAGGCTTAAACGCATCTGTGTTTATATGACAGCACTTTTTCCCCTCTCCTTATCCTTCACGCAGATACTTTATCTCTCTCGAGCACTGATTTACAGGAAGTTTGAAATGTATGTTTTTTCCTTTTCCTCCGCTGCATTACAGTGGCAACGTTCAGTACTGCTGCTGAGAGCTGGTGTGAGAGCCAGGCTATCAGCCTGCTGTAACTCAAACTAAACGAGACACAAATTTTCTCTGAAAGCTTATATGGGAAGCCATAAACACCAGTAGACAGGGCTGGGCTTTGTCCTAGAACCAGCCTGCAACAAAATATGATGTCTGAATTTAGCAGCATTTTATGATGCTGTAGGAACATCTGAAAAAAAAATACTTCATAGGATGGCAAGGCAACAGCCCGCCTTTTTAATTCAGCACATCAGCCCCACAACATCCATCTCCTCACAGTAACCATCACCAGCAGAACACGCATCCAGCTCCTGATGGACAACAAAGCAGCTAATGAATCACCTGCTCCTTTAGTAACCTCTCCAGTGAGATCACAAGTGTGCAGAACACGGTTAGTCCTAAGTGCAAAACAAAGGAGAGCACGACTCTAAGAACAAGTCAATGGAGGCCAATGGGCATTCCCAGAGCTCGGGCCACCTCAAAGGCCAGGCACCATTTTTCAGATGACTTTGGGACTGAGGGGTGCATGGGAGTAACACCGAGCTGGATGTGATTTGACATGTTAAAGTCAGTCCTGTTGGAACATAAATATCTTCCCTCTCTATTAATTAACTATTTAACAGGAGTCAAGTCTTCCATCAGCTCCATAAGCTGAAGGAGCAAGAAGCATTTAAAATACGCAACTCTCCCCATATTCTTTTTTTGGGGGTGGAAAACAAACAAGAAATCTAATCTCACACCTGTGAAAGACTGAAAATGTTAAAATTCATCTTTTCCGCAGCATCATCAGAATTGTAGCGTGAGATCATAGACACTCCTCTTTGTAAGAGGAATAATTTCAAGTAATGTGGTGCCAGTAAGTACTATGATGTTATCCATGACTCATACGGAGGCAATCAATGGCTTGTCTGTATAGGAGAAAAATCACCAGCCCTTCCCACCAACCCCCACTAAAGACCATAAAGACCAAACTACACATGTACATTATTCCACTATAAAAATGGCTCTATTCATAATAATTATTTTGCTCGGGAAAGGAAGGCATTATCCTTGAATAAAAACACACTGTATCCCAGAACGGGCTGTCCACACAAGGAAAGCTATTCTAGAACTGCTAAATTATAGGAGAATATTTGGCTCTGGACAAGCTGGGTAGGTTCCTTTCTCTCGTGCACACAGAGGGTGAGACCTGCAGGCTGAGAGGACCCCAGCCAGGAGCAGCTCAGCATGCAATCTGCCCTGCATACAGACCAACCAACACTCCTTTAACTCTAAGGTCAGCCCAGAAGCTGTCAGCATACCAAAGACTGTAGTGTAAAAAAAGATGATGGGATCCCTTTAAGCTTCTTGTTTGCTTTCTAGTTTGATGTGAGAACAGGACTTGATACAGGGCCCACAACCAGTTTCAATTTGGTCTTGATTAGACTTTAGTGGAGACATTCACTTTGCTAGCTGGGCACTTTGTTTTGAAAGATGAAAAGAAAAATGATGCAATAAAAAAAAAAATTCTATTTAATCCAAACATCTAAAGCTGAAGAGAGGTTAATTAACTTCTGTAGGCTTGGGACAACATCTCTTGGACTTATCCACAAGCGTCTCATCAAACTGTTGTTCCCCAGGTGTCACTGCAGCTGTGCATCACAGTCATCACCAGCAGAAGTCCATCGCTGAACACTGCCATCCACCAAAACACATTTTTCAGTGAAAAATTAAACCTTGCATATGAGTAAAACCCACTGAGCAGATCACAAGTTCAGCAACAAACTGCATTACTGCGCTCATCAGCAAGTTCAGCAGTATGCCTGCTTTCCACTGCCAAAAAAATGAAGTTGCATGGGGAAGTTCCTGAGCTGTGCTTGCTGCACTTTTAGCTCGTGTGCATTTTGCACAGTCACCCAGACTGAAAGACACACACACAGCAAGGCCACCTACAGATAGTAATAAAACCGCACTGTCTGAAAGGCTGCCTATAAATCTTATTAAAGTAATCCCTTCCCTGAACCCAGATTATTACATTCACCTTTATGGTAGAATAAAAATTAATTTTCTCAGCTATAATAAGTGTATGATAAGAAGGCATCACTTGAGACTAAATAAAGATTATAATTAACTCCAACTGAATAAATTTAGCTTGGACTAGCAATTTGTTTTCATAGATTTTCCTCTGCAACGGAGTGAATAGGTACGGCAGGATTAGCATCCCATGCCACTTCCAGCACTGCTGGCACGGAAAGGAACGAGGAAGAATGTAATCCAATACCCAAATGGCCTGAAGATTAATTCAGGGTTCTCTATCAGCAAAAGCTTAGAGAAGAGCTCAGAACTGCCTTTAGCCCTGCAAGGAAAGCTCAGAAAGCACTGGACCCCAGAGAAAACGATGCTTGCTGCGCTCCCTAAATCAGCATTAGCCAGGACAGGACCTCTGACAGAGGGTGCTGAGAGCACATTCAGGGGAAATATCCCCCTGTATCTGCCTGAGCTCACTCATCCAACTGAGCAGCAGCCTTGGGGTGCCTCAGCAGTGGGCTGGGCCAGGCAGATCAGTGCAGCCTTACCAGCCTGCTCCCCTCCGCCATGCTCAGGGTGATCCATAGAGCAGCTGCAGAAGAGGACACAGCATTACACAACACAGATCCAAGTGAGCAAACAGAACAGGGGGAAGCAAAGGCATCCAACAGCTGAACAAAGTTTACCCTGAATTATCACTTTTTTTTTTTTTTTTAAAGTCACAAATAAAAAACCTTACAGCAGCACAGCACACAGCAGATCACAGCTTTATTTATCTTTCAAGGAAACGAGGCTCTGCTTATACAAGGTTGAGGAACTGCCTTGTTAAGCCACTGCCTCATTATTTGACATTCTCAGAGAAGATGATCGTTAACTACTTTATTACGGGGAAGGAGGCATTCAGGCTTGTTTATCAAAATAGATCACATATTTATCCTGGCCAGGGAACAGCATGCAAACCCAAGCAATAACACTATTGTGTTTGCTCCCCTGATTGCCATGCTGGCCCATGCAGACATCAGATCTGCCTGCATAAGAAGATTTTATCAGGCATACAGCTGAAGCTGAGCCATTATCATTACAGCAGTATGGTTCTCTGAGCGGATATGTTTATTTCCAAAGATTGGATTTCTTTTAGCTTAAAGTTGACACAGTCTGAAACCAGAAAATAATCTTTTTAGGATGAAATCAGAGTGTGTATGTAAAGCATTACACCGCTATAATAACTTCAAT